ATTATTACAGTTAATTACACTATGTGAGTTGAGATATTGTGCATATTAAAAGCATTTCTGAGATGCTTTCCAGTTTTCACAAAATTTGAATAGCAGTTCCCTTCCTCCCCCCCTTTTTTTAAAAAAAGTATCATTTGACTTCACACCTGCATTTTTTCCCTTTCCAGTTTCTGTTAAGCCACCTGTTTTGTTATCTATCACTACACATAAATAAACTTGTTTCAAGCACCGCATCATATTTAATTTTTGCTTTTTTTAATAAGAAAAAAGCAAATTATACTTTAATAAAAACTAAAGTATTCTGTTCTGGAGGTCTGAATCCACATCTGCAGCATAGTGGTGTGGGGATGAAGAGTCTTACATAGTGCTCAGTGTAGCTTGCTAGTGAGGGACACAGAACCTCTAAAACTCATGAGCCTTCTAAGTTGAGCTCAGACGTGACCCTTGTTACAACTGAAAAAGTTGAGCTTATTTTATTTTTCCAAGCAGGCTGACTCTAAAATTTGAATAATACAGCATCAAGAAGGAAATCCTACCTGAGCCAACTTAACAGAGAACTAGTGATGTGTTGTTACTTAATTGTACAAGCACTCATTTTTAAATGTGACACTTGTTTTCTGTACTCCAAGATGGGAAGAGCTTGTGTGAATACTTTGCAAATATATGTAATTAAAATGTATGTAAAAAGGTATAGCTTCACTGGGCTTCCCACATGGCAGTAGAGCCGAAGCCAGCAATCCGTAAATTCAGTAAACCTTTAAATTAAAAAGACATGGTAAATTTGAGCCTTGACATTTTTAAGAACATATTTGGTTGTTGATTTTGGATCCTGTTTTGCAATGCTTAGTATAATAATGCATAATTTGTACTAATACTCTTCTTGAGGATTTATATTCTGAGTGTCCGTATAAACTTGTTTTGGGAAACGTGCAATAATTATGTTTCACTAGAGGCTTTATCAGCATAAGTCAAATGGTGCAAGGTTTCTGGTTAGTGAATTTAGTGGAGATTTGAGAGATGACCTACTAATTCTCCTCTAGAGAGAATATCTGTCCTTTCTGGAATAAAATTTTTGTACTATATAAAATTCTGTCCTTCTAAATATTCCCTTTTATTTTGGAAATCAGTACTCTGATGTGTTCTCTACTGGACACTAAATCTCTTCATTTTTCCTTTTCATCTTGCAGTATTTACAGACTATACCCACCACAGGAAATCTCTCCCTGGGAAAGTTTAGTATTAATCTAAGATGAATGAACCCTTTTAGGGAAAATCATTCATCGGACTGGTTTAGATATTTGTATTAAAATATGCCCTAGAAATGCCTGTCATCTGTATTTGGTCAAATAACTTCTACCCTCTTTGCACAGATGCTTGTAAAATGAGTATTTCTGATGAAGTGTTACTAGAAAATAAGGTTATAGTAAAATAATAGATTTTAAGTATTTAAATTGTTTTTTAAATACTTAATTATTTTCAAATACTTTGAATATTAAGCGCTACGTAAAAAAAACCAGGAACACTTTAGATATACTAGAACACCCGTCAACTACATTATCACACTGATAAGGTTTATAACTGTGTTTTGTTGAAAAAAACCTGCTTAGCGTGCTATTTTATATTACTAAAAATTTGCACACTAAGCTATTTCACCTGTTTGTTCCATAGTGACATCTTCTGGTAGGTCTGAACATGCTTGTCCAAAATTATTTCTTTCAGTTTGATTAGTCCTAAAATAATGAGAACTGAGAACTAAGATCTCAGACAGTTGCTCATAAATGTGCAGGGACTGAATGTATATTCCACAGCAGTTTTTCTATTTGATTCTTCCTCCTCTTCTGTTTACAATGGGAGGACCATAAAAAACATAATTTTGAGAAGTCTGTAGGGACTAGAAGCAGAGAATACAATTTCCTCCTGCAAAGTCATTGTGGAGTTGGCCCAGGTCGGTAGCGCCTGAGTCACTAGCACCAGCTGGTAGTCATTCTGGTTCTGCAGAGCCCGTTCAATGTCATCCTAGTGCATGCCTCGGTCCTTCCATAAGTTAAGCACTGATCAAACATAATAAACTACTGTTGCTTTGGTTTTTTCCTCTCCTTAGTATTGATTTATGTGGGCTTTTGAAGCTTGCTTTCAACTAGTTTTATACTAGTGCTATTGTGCTAAGAGATGTCTGGAGCTGGTAATCAGATTTTATTCAAAAGTACTGGAATTACTTAAACTAACAGTATATATTGCAAAAAATAAAAGCTTGCCTTTTCTGTTTAAGAGTGGCAGAATTCTAAAGATCTGGTGTCCATATAACTCCAGTTACTTTATACAGGAAAGTGATTGCTCACATCTAAAGTAAAAACCACCTTGCTTGCCTCGTGGGAACCAGCTTTATGCTCTTTTCTTGACTTGAACCACAGACATCTGGTTTAAGTGTATGCCTAGTAGTATTGGCCAATATTCCGGTTAGTATTTGATTTCCTATTACCTGACTGATTAGGGTTTTTAGTTCATTTTTAAATTGCTTAGTTTAGAACGATAACCAACCCACTCTTCATGATCAATTGTTCAAAAATTTAGTTTTTAACCTTTAAAATTGTCTTTAAGTCTAACAGTCTTCTCCCTTTCTGGGGAGAAGGTTGGGGATTAGCTCTGACAAAATGTATTTGGAAGGTAGATGTCTGTTTAGAAAAGCCTGATGGCAAAACACGGAGGAGTACTTAGGCACACCAATTCTAATCCCACATAGAGTCATAGAGTCACAGAATAGTTTGGGTTGAAAGGGACTTTTAAAGGTTACCTGGTCCAAACCCCCTGCAATGAGCAGGGACATCTTCAACTAGATCAGGTTGCTCAGAGCCCTGTCCAATTTGGCCTTGAATGTTTCCAGGGATGGGGCATCTACCACCTCTCTGGGCAACCTGTGCCAGTGTTTTACCACCCTCATTGTGACGTGTGTATACAGAAACTCCTAACATAATTTCTGAGGAAAAGCAGATACAACTTTTGTGTGGGTGTCTGGTTATTGCTGAGAGTGGAAGTTGCATTTACAAGAAAGTGTTTAATTTAGTGTGTTCTTTTTACTTCAAAACATTTGCCATGACTATTCACAGATCATCATGGCTTAAAGATTATCTAGTTCCAACCCACTGCCATGGGCAGGGACACCTTTCACTAGAGCAGGTTGCTCAAAGCCCGACCCAGCCTGGCCTTGAACACTTCCAGGGATGGGGCATCCACAGCTTCTTTGGGCAGCCTGTTCCGGTGCCTCACCACCCTCATGGTGAAGAAGTTTTTCCTTATATCTACTCTAAATTTACCGTCTTTCAGTTTAAAGCCATTACCCCTTGTCTTATTACTGCATGCCCTTGTAAAAACTTATCACTGAGTGATCTTATCACTGATATTAATTTCATATAATACAGTAAATTTAATTCTGGAAGGCGGAGACAGGACTTCAGCTTCTAGTGCAGGTTAGAGATTGGGGGTTTAATGTTTGTGATTTGGGGTTAGGTTTTTTTCTTAAGCATCTTGGAGTGCTTAAGTGCTAACTTTTTTCCAGTTTTTCTTTTATTAAAAGAAGAAAAAAGGTAGAAGTAGAAGCTACAGAACATAAAACTTCATCCAAACGATACTCTCTCAAAGGATATTTGGCAGTGTATCAGGAGAGAGAACTAACTCCCCTGCAAATGCTTATTTCTGAATAAAAGTTAATGTCGTTCTGGAAGTCTGATGTTGGCCAGTTAACGCACAGGTTTTTCCTAGTGTCATGTCTGTGCTCAGGGTGGATGTAGACGCTGGCTGTAGCTCTGGGTGAAGTGAAAGAGCTGAGGGAACTGAACTAGGTCTGATGCCTGCTCCACCAGAGACACTGCAAATTCTCACGGTCTGTTGGGGAAAGAGGAAGACCCAGAGTGTGTTGAGGAAATAAAGGAGCAGAGGTCCAGGAAGTGATTGGTAAATGAATGACTGATTAAGTAGACTAGCTACATATGTGGTTCTCAAAGTGGGATAGAAATTTTGTTTTAATTGATATAAGCAAATTGATGTTTATGCCCAAGTTAATGTACAAGCAGTTGCCAACAGCTGCTGTACAGCACACTCTCTCTTTGTATGTCTGGTTACAACAAACAAGATAGTGTCATACTGCATTGAATTACATTTTTTTTCATGCAGATAATTGGGCAGCTGCAAAAATAAAAGTTCTAAAAATGTGTTTAGATTGCATTAATATTGTTATGTAATATCTGAAATGTGAGAAATCTCATCTTGCAAAACCTTAACTTTGGGCTTTCTAGATACTGCATTTTCAATACATTGATTATGCTTTTATTTGTAGTAAATTGCTGTATAATTCACACTCTCTATTTCCACACTGTGTATTTGATGATAAATAAATATGCTCCTCTATGTTATAAAATACCATTTTAGTATTGTATGATTTATTGACTTCAGGCATACAATTAAGTCTTGAATACAGTGCTTGTAATTAGCATACGTTTTGTTACTGCCTTTGTCCTTTGCGGCTGAAATCTTTACAAACAAGATTTTTTTTCACAGTAATTTACTGTGGGCTACATAGTATTCATGGAAAGTTTGAAACATGTACTTCTCTGTATTTTGAGACTGCAGAATATCTGATGTGGTTTTACTTCTGAAGATGGTCCTCAAGCGTGTTCAGAAGTGTCCGTCAGTCATTTCCTTTCTTCTCATTGAAATTTCTCATAATATTTTTATGTGTTACTGTTTTAGGTGAGCCTGAGTTTGGATGATTGATTTCTTGGTAATCAAGTTTTCAGCAGGCAATTGAATCAGATACAATTCCTCTCAGTCATCCAGAGCACAAATTAAAATTTGCATTTCAGTCACTAGTCTTGTCTGTGGCATCCTCTTCCCTCCCACTCAGACTGAGCATTTTTAAAAAAGTAGCCGTCTATATAATACATACAAGTTAATAACATTGCTGCATAGCAAAATCCTGGTGGATTTTCAAAAATTGTATGTAATAGAAAATAAGCTCTAATTTTATTTGGATCTTGCAGGTGCGCCGATTTGCAGAAGCATTCTTTTGTCTTGAGCATCCAAGGCAAGCTGCCCTTGCCTATCAAGAACTACAGTGAGTAGCCTTTTGAAGTGCACAGTATGTGGCATGTAGTACTATAATTCTATAGCTTATGTTGTGTAGAAGTACTGTCTTGCAAAAATACTTACATAACAAGTTCAAGAAAAACTTCTGTATTAAATATAGATTTGAAGTTTCTTAATGAAAGTTATATAAGAAGTTATTAAATAACTATAAAAATATTAAATAACTAATTAGTATAAAAGCTTCTACTAAAGTGAATTAAACTACTGCCAATTTCTGTTAATGTAAAAATAAATAGTTCTATTTTTTCATGTAGGACTACTTCCTTTTTTTCAGCGCTCAAAGTCATCTACAGATGTGTGCAGCTATCAAAAACACTTCTTTCTGCAGTTCTCTTCCACCCCTTCCTATTGAATGCAGTGAACTAGATGGAGATATGAACTCCTTGCCTATAATCTTTGAAGATCGATATTTAGATACAATTACTGAAGGTAAACATACCTTACAGTGCAGTTTTCTTTTTGAAGAAGTGAGCAAAAATTATGTAAAACCTGAGTATTTTTCCTTACATTTCTTGCTGGCTTTAAAGGAGTGCATGTAGGAAATGTTTCTTTAGTTCGAGTTTTGAGGATGTATAAAGTTCCATAATTACTAGTTTTTTATAGCTTCAGTTACCTGCATAATCTTGTTGTAAACAATCCTTTTTCTTACTTTTTTTTTTACTCGCTTTTTTTGGTGAAAGATCTGGATGTTCCCTGGTTGGTAGTTCAGAGTCTTCCAAGGTCAGAGTCCAATAAACTGGATAAATTTGAAGCTGAAGAAGGTTTTGTAGCTGGTTTTACAAGCCCGGAACTGAAAATAAGACCTGCAGGTGCCTCCAACCTTTGTCATTCAGAAAGTGAAAAGATGCTAACAAAAACTTTGAAAGGGAAAACTGAAGATGCAAATAAATCCAAAGTTAAGGTTACTAAGCTCATGAAAACAATGAAACCTGAAAACACAAAAAAAGTTGTGAAACAGAACTCTAAGGACTCTGTGGTCTTAGTAGGCTACAAATGTTTGAAAAGTGCAGCACTGGAAGATGCCTCTAGAAGCTCAGAAGGCAGGCCTTCATACAATGCTAATGAAGGGCTGGACCCTACATTAGGTGGGTTTCCTTGTGATACAAAGACCTGCACCAGGCAAATAAGTCAAAGAGAACTTCCATTTTTGCCATCTGGAGCTGAGGAAAAGACTGCCAAGATTGAAGGTGTCCAGCCAGGTCCAGGTAGCCCCGTGCACTGTGAAAATGTGGCTATTTTTGGTAGACTTACTATCTCCCAGACAGGTTCTGGAACTGAAGGTTGTCGTGGAGGTCAACCAGCTTCCTCAGGAGTCAGGACAATTGAGGTCAAACCAAGTAATAGGAATCCCTATGAAGGGGAGAAAGTAACTGTTCACATTGGATCATGGACTGAGTTTCCACAAGATGGAGTGCAAGGAGAGAATTTGCAGACACCCAATATTCAGTCTTCAGAATCTGTAAATAAATTGAATTCAGGAGAACAGGAACCAGTGCTTGAAAAGGAGGACGTCCACGAAAGAAACTTCCAACATACCAGTGACATCTTGACAAAAATGAAAAGTAATCAGCCTACTCTTTCCACAAAAGAAAGTCAACTTTCTGCAAGTGGAGACATGACTAAATTTCCAGATGTTAGCATGACATATGCCTCTTCCAGGTTTTCAGATTCAGGTGTAGAAAGTGAACCAAGTTCTTTTGCAACTCACCCCAACCCTGATCAGGTTTTTGAAAATGTTCAAGGGCAAAGTGCATACAATGGTGAGAGGGTATTTCCTCAGCTTTTACTAAAACCAGACTGTGCTATAAAAAACGCAATAGAAGGACATTGCACTGAGAGTACTAGCGCTGTAAGTGAAATACAGTCATCCCTGACATCCATAAATTCTCTGCCTTCAGATGATGATGAGCTGTCACCTGATGAGAATTCAAAGATATCTATTGTACCTGAATGCCAGCTAAGTGACAGTAGAACAGTATTGGATCTTGGAGCAATTGACTTGCCAAAATGTGGTGACAGTAAAAAATCTAACACCGATTTGCAGCAACAGTGTGTTGTATTTCCAGGGTACTTGGATAACAAAACTCGGTCTATACATTCCTCGCTCTCAGGAACAAAAGATCTTTTACACTTAGTTGTTTCAGATGGGGGTATGTCTCCTGATGTGAAAAGTTACAGCTCACAGGCAGACCTTGGAACAACCTACAAGGACTCTCAGGACCTTGAAAGGCATCTTAATGCCACAGAAGCAGCAGTTAAATTGCATTTGGAAATTACTTGTATGGGTGAGCCATCTGTTGTTTCACGTTCTTCATCTGTAAATGCAGTGTATGAGGTTGAAAAAAATGAAGGAAAACATAACGAGCCTTTAGAACTAAAGGAGACAACTGAAGAACTGCCAGTAGCTAAAAGTGAAACTGGTACAGATAATCCTTCTCCAACAAGTAGTACTGACATGGTAAAGCAAGGGCTTGTTGAAAACTATTTTGGCTCTCGAAGCAGCACAGATGTTTCAGATATTTGGCCTATGGACAACAGCAATCCTGTTAGCCCTCAAAAGGAAACATATGAAAAACAAATTATTTGCTCTTCCCAACAAGATGAAGAAGAGGAGGAGGATCAAGAAATGATTGAAAACGGGTATTATGAAGAAACAGACTATAGTATATTAGATGGAGCTTCCAGTGCTGACCAGGATCATGGCTCAGCAGAAGAGAGAGCCCTGAGATCAGAAAGGGTTGATAGTGGGCATCTGCGAGATGGAATGACTGTCCCTCCTGTCTGCACTCCTGGTTGTCTGTCTTTTCCTTCTTCTCTGAGAGACTCTCCTTGCAGTGTTATCTGTTCCTCAAGGAACAAATCTGATGCGATTACACAACAGCCAGGCAGCACGTCCTACAGCTCAGCTTCATCTGTTTCCTGGTATGAAAGCTCCCCAAAACCTCAAATGTTAGCGTAAGTAATTGTTTTAAAACTAAGTTTTTTAAATAGAGTGTAGAAGGGGTAAAGAAACATTGTTAGGCTCAGGCCCAGGACTGTGGCTTGTGGCTTCTGCACACTCAAGTAACATCACATTTTAGTTAGTTAGCACTGAATTCCTTCTATCACTTAGCTTGTAATTTCACGTAGTTTGACAACCTTCAAGCAAAACATAAATTTTTTTGTTTCTCTAACATGTTCCTTTTTTAAAAAAGTCATTTGGCTGAAAAATTATGTCATCATGGGTACTGAGCATAAAAATAGTGTTTTATGAAATGGAAGCTGTTGAAATAGCAAGCATAGGAAAATAAGCTTTGAGTTTAAAAACATGAAAACAAAAGTATTCTGTAACTGGTTGTCCATCCAAGTTAAGTGAAGCCAATGTGCAGTGTTAGCCAACATGACAGCCTTATTTTTCAGTCTTCACTTCAAATATCCAAAATGTAACACCTCAGAGACCATAGTGATCTAAATTTCACTGCAATTTGGATGCCAGGAAGGCCAAATTTAGAGGGACATCAGGGATCCCAGATTGCACCTCCTCTTGCTGTAAACATAGGAGTTTCCCTGATAACTCCTTGCTGCTAATTGAACATGGCAAGAAGCAGCTTAATGTGTTGTATTGGAAGTAAAACACTGCTTTCAGAAAGAAGAAAGCTTAGAAGAGAGGTAGAAACAAGGAGAATGCTGAGCAGGCAGAAGAGATAAAAGACCGGCTAGTTTGTGGTAAGCAGCAGAGAACAGGAGGAAGGATTGAGCAGTGGTGGCGGAAAACAGGTTAGAAGTGGACAGGAAAGTAACTTCTGAAATACTGGAGAGTGGGTACTGGCATGGAATGGGAGGGGTGAAAAGCAGAGACTATTTAATTAGGGTGTTCTGTAACAACAAAAGAAAGGGAACTCGGAGTAAAATCAAGGACATGGGCTTGGGGAAAGCAGGGTCTACTGGAGCATGGGATAACTGGGATTCCAGAGGGCATGATCTGCCTTTTGGTAGAGAACCAACCTTGGTATGTTTGGTTCAGAAAGCATGCCTTGTGTACAAACTAAGTAGTAACTTCTACTGCCAAGTGGTAAGACCCGCTGCCTGCAGTGTTTTCTGTTTAGGCTAACGTCACTGAGGCTTGCTCTTGACAGTTATTGGGGAATGAGCTAAAGATAAAGCTGGGAAAAGAGACAACAAAAAGTAGAATGCTAGGAGAACAGTGAGCAGGCGGAAGAGGACACTGGGGATACAGCATGATGCTGTGAGGGATCACGCAGAACAGACGGATTAAGGAGGGAAGGAAGCATAAAGCTTGAAGCACTGCAGGGAAACTGAGACGTGATTAATTAGGTAGGAAGGTCATACACAAAAAACCAAGGAAAGGGGAAGAAGGGGAGGAACTCAAGGAACTCCTAGCATGTGGGGACCTCAGCTATTAGAAACTATGTAATGTATCCCTTCATACAATACATAAAAGACAGAGGTCTGGATCTGGCTTCTTCTGAAGCAAGTATCAGTTATTCAGCCTACCAGAGGGACTTTCTGGTGAGCAGTTAGAACACTGGATCCAGCTGTCTGCTGACCTAGGAAATACCAAAAGTCAGTGGAAATCTTTACCTTGACTTCTGATGGGTTATAATTCCTGTAATTTTGTTACTGCATTTAAACAAAGCTGTTGCTTGCTCAAGACCAGAACTAACCCAGAATGTTCAGTGGTTTCAGAAGTACTTCAGTTTGCAGAGATGTGCAAAGGAGAGAACAGAGTAGAGCTTGGGGTATGAATTTTGTTACAGAGGAAAAGGGGCTGTAGGAAGCTGAAATAAAAAATATTTTGAGGAACTGGCTTGTTTTGTGAAGTTAGTAATTTGATAAATATATTTTCCTTTGTATCAATTACATAGAATACGAAGTAAAAATACAGTAGAAAACTGTATCCTAGGAGACCCTATGTTTGTCTGACAATAGTAAATGTTGTTTTATCATAAATATGGTTTCGTTCCAGTTTCCTACAGGCTAAAGAAGAATTGAAGCAACTTAACCTTCCTGGATTTATGTATAGTGATGTTTTGAAACTGGCTTCTTCAATACCTTATTTCAGTATGGAAGAGGATGACTGTTCAGAAGAAGGAATACATCTTATAGTCTGTGTCCATGGCCTAGATGGTACGCTGGGAAATGTGATACTGAATGCGATAGCAGTTCAGATCACCGGTCGGGTGTAGCTTTTGTCGTTTGAACTGTGAACTGGACACTTTTGAAATAGGTTCACTGGAAGAAAATGGGAATGTGACGTTCTACTGCTACCTTTGACAATGTGTTACATAAAATCATTTAAATTAAGGATTTTATGTAACATTTGTCTTTAATAAAACTTTCATGCACATAAACCCATTTTATGCCATAGTTCACATTAGGTATATCTTCCATTTTTTAATGTCATATAGGTATTTGTCTATGTCATGCTAATAGAATGGAGTTACTAACAGTACAGTTTTGTTTAAAATTTGTAATGTTACATTGTCAAGGAAAATAAAATATGTGTATCTTGTTAGGAAAAAAATAGTATCTGTAAAATGCAGTCATGTTTATAAGGTTTTAAAAGAGTAGATTACTGAATCACAGAATGGTTGAGGCTGGAAGAGATCTCTAGGGATTGTCTAGTCCAACTCCTCTTCTCAAAGCAGGGTCACCTACAGCAGGTTGCCCAGGACCCAGCCCACTTGGGTTTTTTAATATTTCCAAGTAGAGGAGACTCTACTGTAGTAGAAATGAGAAAATCTCTTGCTAGTGGAAAGAAGGATTGGAAAGTTGAAATAGCTTCAGTATATTCACCTGCTTTTAGTTCAAAGCATACGTGCATGTTAAGTAATAATACCCCCTCTAGTTAAGATACTCATAGCTTCCTGCCATCGATGTTTTTGTCTTTTTTTGAGAAGCTTCTTAAATTAACAATGTAAGGAAACACAAGAGGGCAACAGGTAGAATATTGGACTGGGCTGACACTGCACAGCCTTCCTCTCCATTTTTCAAATTCCCAAGTTAAAAAAATAACAGAATAGCTTTTTTGTGTTCCACTGGGCAGAAAGCATCCTTTGTTAAGCCCTTTTTTAAACAGAACTCAGAAGTGTTCATTCTTACTAGCATAGATGTTCAAGTGCTATTGCATGCCTAGAACTGACACGAAAGTTAACTTGGCCAAAAGTCCTGTTGTTGAAAAAGCATGTCGTTGAAGCCTTAGAAAAATCCATATAGTTAGAATTTTCTGACGAAATGGCAAGTTCATGCAAGTTCTTTCCTATTACTAAGAGATTTAAATAAAAATTTTGCTCTCTAATTAAGGCAGAAAGGGTACTCTTTCTTCACAAGCATACATGATCATTGATGTAGAGAAGTCTTCAGGATGCTAGTTAAACTAGCATTCGTTGTCTTGGGTACCAGCCGAAATGTATTTTTATCTGCTGACAGTCCACTCTGCTTTTTTATTCTATGGAAATGTTTACGACTTGCCCTTATTCCTTGCTCCTTCACTTACTTCTTTAAGCTAGCTCTGAGTTCTTTAATTGGCTTTTATCAAAGTTAATTAGGTTTTCAAGAATATAATGTTCACAGTGCTATGTGTCTGTTGGATGCTAAGACAAAATCGAACACGACTTCCTAAATCCTTGCTTTTTTAAAACGGTGTCTGCACTGAGTGTCATTTTTATAGAGTGTTTTGTCACTGCATTTGGCATTGCAGTTTATCTTCCTGAGTCTTACTGAATTTTAATTAGGGCTGAGGATATCTTTAGCTGTGTTTAAATATAAAGTTGTGCAGTAGGTTAATTTCGGTATTGTAAGTGCTTTTATTGCAAGTTAACTTCACAGTATCTAATTCTTGATTGTTTTTCCTTTTAAGGTAACAGCGCGGATCTAAGATTAGTGAAGACTTACATTGAGCTAGGGCTGCCTGGAGGGAGAATAGATTTTCTTATGTCCGAAAGGAATCAGGTATTTGCCAACAAAAAAAGAATTTGTAAAGCAATGAACAGTGTACATCTTCAGACATGTTTGTTTAATGGCACTATCGTGTTGCAGTTTACCACATTCTGTATATTTTTATTGTATTCTGACGGAATCCATGATTTGATCTGTGGCTTGCGTTAAGTAATTACAGTCTACTATGATATTGAAGGTAAATTTATAAGGAGTAACATTTGTTGCTGCCATTTTATTGTGTGTACTGGTATCTCCTAAGTTCTCACCATAATCAGTTAGGATTATAGATAAAGTACGCTTGATATTAATAGTGAAAATGGTGATACTGAAAACTGATGTGGCAAGGAGGGAGATGTGTTATTTCACAGGATCTGAGAAATACAAAATACCTGTCTCTTGTTCTTTTGTCAGTGTCCTGTAAGATCCACATCATGACACTGAACCAATATCAAATCACCTCTTCTGTTAAACTTCTGTGAATTTTACTGTCTTCGGATGAAGTAAACTTGGCAAAGCAGAGAAGACCAATTTTTACTTTTTGTGTGCTTGTTATTAGACGTACTTCAGGGATGAATGAGAACAGAGAGTCTCTTCAATGTCTCAAGCGAAAGGTTTATTTCGTGCCATCCTGGCAATAGCTGCTGGGATGCTTTGCAAAACAGGCCAGACAGGCACTAAGCCATGCTTTCTCTTCTCTAGCCCGGTAGTTTTTGCCAGTCAACAGTTCTGAAACTTTCTGATTTGGGAATTCCACTGAGCCCACTGAGCCTAATAGCTACTGATGGACTTTTCTCCTTAATGTTGGCTGATTCTTTTTGAATGTTTTTACTTCCAGTTTCCACAGGATACAGCTGAGATTAATTCTATGGTTCATATACATTATTAATTCAGTTGCAAACAAAGAAATTTAAACAAATCTCCCTACAGCTTGTTTTGGAAACAAAAATAGGCAATAATCATTCCTCATTTTCCACTTCAGTTAATTATTTTATAAACAAGTATAATTTCTCCCTCAGGAGGAAACTGAATAGACATAGTCCATTCAGTATTTCTCAGTTTCACATGTGAAACAGTTTCTGGTCATCCATGATAGCCTTCCCTGCCCCCTTTCAAACTTCTTGTCATTTAAAATAGGATGATCAGAACTAGGCAGAGCATTTAAGATGCTTGTTCACCATGGACTTACAAAATGCTATATTGATATTTTCTGTACTTTCCTTGCTTTCCTAACATCCTGATTATATAGAACACAGGTGTATAGATTATTGTTTGCATATGTGTTTAGGGCTGTTTTTCCCTATGTAACATTGTTTTGCATTTCTTGCCATTTTATAACCCAGGCATGCAGTACTACTATAAGATTCATCTGAAATTCTGGTCGATTCTAGGTGTGACTGTCTTGGATATTTGCTTTTGTGTCCAAACTCTGACATCTCCCCTCCTTCTTCCCTTCCCCAAATTGTTTATCAGTATGTTGAACACTACAGACTTTAGCAGAGATCCTTTGGAACTTGTGTTGAAAAGCTTTAGGCAGTCTTTGCCTACCTCTTTTTTAGTTTCTTACGGTTAGTCATTGTAGAGAATCAGCTATGAACTGGGAATAAGGATTTAAGGATTCTTTTTATTTTGAATAAACAGTACTAATGTAGAGTTTCTGCTGTTGCAGTACTTGTCTCATTTCTATTTCATGGGCAGTGTGATTTAGTTCTGAATATGCAGTTTCATCTTCTGTTTCACTACAGATAAGATTAATCTTATGTGTAGGGGAGGGCTTAGAAGGAAGGCTGTGTAATGTTAAGGTTTGTTTTGGTGTATTAAAAGAAAGTAGTCTTACAGTAAAATGTGTATTACTGTATTCCATGGTACAAGGAAAAAAAGCTTGAAAAAATTATAATAACTAGCTGTAGTGTTTGTATTCAAAGTTGATATGGATGCTTTTATTTGTGTGCTGTTGATCAAAACACTGGGGAATAAGAATTCAGACTGAATGCAGAATGTATATTGCTGCATTAGAAAATAGTTATTATTTTTTATTTCTTTTATTTTACAGAATGATACCTTTGCTGATTTTGATTCCATGACAGATCGCCTTTTAGATGAAATTATACAGTATATACAAATTTATAATCTAACCCTTTCAAAAATCAGGTAATATCTGTTCTATACTATTTATAGAAATAAACCTAAAACTAGAGCCCTGTGTTGTTCTGAACTGTGATGCTCAGGAGCAGGCCAAAAGAGAGATGGGAAAGAGAAATTCAGGGAGGGGGAGGAGTAGGGGAAAGGAGAACAAAAGGGAGAGAGGGAATTCCCAGCTGAAAGAAGACTGAACAGTGTTGTAAGCTCACCTGGTCCTGTTGGTTTTAGGGCAGAGTTAAGCATTACATTTAAGGAACTGCTGTCCTGTGCTTCCTCAGATCCTGCATGGTAGGGTTCTGCAGAAAAACGGATAATATTTTGAGAAAGTTAAAGGGAACTGTAATAGTGCTATGTCAAGATAAGGTTAGCTTTCTTGGGATTTTGTAGTTTTTTCACCAAGTATGACATAGCAGACTGTCAAACTTGTCATTCCTACAGGGAAATTCTATCTTACCTGTGACGTTGAAGGGCAGCTGCATAAAAAAATATTTCATCATTTTGATGTTTTCTGATCGTTTCATCTGCTAAAAAGCATGTTTTACATCTTAATAGGAGAATCATCCCAGTCTATGCATTCCTGTTTCCTTTTTCGGTTACTTCCAGGGAATACCTGTTCCATTTATTTTCTCAAAGGGTACAACCATTTGGGCAGACTACCTTACTAACTTAGCTGTGTTGCTGGACTTAGCTCACTGATAGATGAAAGGAGAAAATTCAAGCCTGACTTCATCCATTTGTTTAGGCATTCTCAAATTATACATCTGGAAGGTTTTTTGACTTGCTAGTCACATGCATTTCCTACAAGTTTCTGCATACTGATGCGTTTGGTAGGCCTTGTTCATCTAGAGTAAACATCTAACATATTTAAATGTAATCTCACTTTTTAAACAAATGTTTCTATTTTGAAATAGGCAAGATTTGGTTAATTTTGTCTAAGTTGATGATTTAAAAAAAAAACAACAAAACCACTGTGTGATTGTAGTTGTGTTATGCAGACTGCATGATAGTGCCCTCGGTACAGGAGAGGAGAGTGATGTAATCCACCAGCACAGGCTGACATCTTTGAGCAAACCCACCCCGTTACCTTCTCATTGTTCATACCTGAGAATTGAATTCTCCTTTGCTTTTGGTTTGCTTCTGTCATAAGACTTTCTATGTTAAAATATTTCTTCAGTTTTATTTATTACTTGTCACTAGAAAGAAAAAAGGAAATCATCAATTTTTATTTTAGTTTCCTTTTCAAGGTGTATACTTGTGTTTGGCCCTGCTGAAGCAGAAGTCTCCATCTCTCAACTTTAGCTTTTCTTATGAGAAAGTTAAACCTGTCAGCAAATCCTGCAGCTGTTTCCTGGTAGCTACATGAGAGAACTTTCAGAAACAGATGTTGCTTATATGCAATTCCTTGAAGGGATGACCCAGAAAGCCCAGGAAAGTACTACTGAGAAATCCTCTGTTCAAGTAGTGATGCTTTCCTACCTTATTTTGGCTGTCCCCCTGTAAAGAAAGTGGACTTTGTGCTAGTTAGCCATGCTCTTCGGAATGATGCTAGTTTCTCCTCATAAAATCTCCCTGTCTGCTAAAGGTAGTGTTCTCTCTACAAGCACTGTTCAATAGCTGAATCAAATCAGAAATCAGTCTCCAGACCAGTAATGATTTTGTAACACAAAAAAGCTGACCAGTGTTCTGTGTCAGAAATACCTGTTCAGTCCCTCCTTTATGCTCGAAGTCTTGTTATGGGCAAAAGGGAGCGTACTTCATATGCAGAGCTAAGAATTTATTGTTAGTCCAGTTAGTGTTTTAAAAATCTCATAAAATGAAGCAAAAAACCTACTATTAGTCTAGTAGTTTACAGTACTACTAAAATTCATAGTCCAAATTAATGCAGAAAAGTTCCATTATTAATATGGTTAAAGTTGTTATACAGAAACTTTCTAGTATCTTTCTCAGGTGGTAACTTCCCTTCCAGCAGCTGTCTATGTCCTAAGATTGGTGGTTTCTGTCTTCCTCAAGCAGTGGGACATCAGCATCCTGGGTCTTCAGTGCAAGGAGAATGATGTTCACGGTGGGGGTTTCTGCCTCCTTGGCCTTGGGTCTGCCTGGATTTATTCTCATACTTTCCTATCACCAGTCCGTCCACATGCTGAACCACATTTTGGTTCCTATTACTCTCCTCCCACCCCCCCCTCCTTCTCTGATATCCCTAACGCTGGCTTGCTTTCCTGAGTTGCAAGATTGTGCTTCTGCAGTGACCATTAGTAGACCATTGGGGACCTCTGGCGTATGATACCTGTGTCTGCACACTTCTACACCTCACTTTATTCCAGTGATACACAGTTCAAGCCACACAGAAAAACTACTTGTTATTTGTAAAAACTATAGTGAAACTAAAGCAAGTTTAGGTCTGACATGTTACTTCACTGCCAGACGATTGTTGTCACAGCTAAAACAAACTAAAATCAGCTCAGGCCAAGGCAAGTCATGAGAAGTTCTAAGATTCTGCACTGTCAGGTCAATGCAAAGCCTCATTCCTTCAAGTAACAGCAAAATCCTGTTTATGGGGCTACATTTTTATACTGAGATAAGAAAAGGCATTCCTTGTACCATCACAGAACTCTCAGCCATACTATACTGTCAACTTCAGTGAACCAACATTTTTGGTACTGCCAAAGCTGGTATCAGTTATTACACCAGTACACTACCCAACATGTGTGTTGATCTCCAGACAAAATCTTTGTGCTCACTACACGTGTGTAGCAAGCATGAACTGGAAGCTTGATTGAAACCAACAGCAATTTGTCTTGTGAAACAGTGGCTTGGTAAAAAGGAATCACAAAATACTTTAGGTTGAGGGGGCCTCTGGAAGTCACCTGGACCAGTTACCCACTGATACCGGTGCCACCTTCACAGCTAATGCAGCTTTGAAGCAAGTTAAACTGCTCAGTCAGAGCTGTTTAAGTTTTGAGTGTCTGTGAGGATGGAAGCCTTTCCAGATCATCACACAGCTAGGAAATAAACCACATGCTCTTATAGTGTAGTTTCAGAAACTGTTTTCCTCATGTCGCGTCTTATATAAATTTCTGATGACCTGAATTAGACTTTCACCTCAGTTAGATTATTCAGCTTGTCATCCTCTTCCCTAAGTAACATTGGCTCACCAAAAAAAAGGCGGTTTTTAATGCTGTGCATATATTTAAATATTTGTTCATTGTTTCAGCACCTTTTTGCTTATGGCTTTTGATAGAATTTTTTTTTTTTCCTTCCATGTATTTATATAATAGGGCAGGAATTTTCATTTGTTAGCACAGAATAATGAGGTTTTACTGTGTCTAATTTTCCAGTATTGGTACCCTTGTGGCATAAACTGCAAATAAATACCACAGTATAGTTCTAATAACTTCAGTGTGTGTTGAGTTAATGACATCTTGTATACAAAAGATGGTAATATTGCCACCTACTGTTCTGAAATGCATTGGAGAGCATCCCACAATTGCAGGTGTCTGAAACAAGGAGTAGGATGGGTTACATTTTTGTTGTACACTTTCAAAGCGCTTTTTGAAGGGGTTTCCTTTACCTCCCTTTTCCTTTTGGATTTGAGCAAATCCTTAAACCTTTCTCTATCAGAAGATAATGTTAAAGGCTTACTATGTGTTCACCTACACATCTGAATTTGAACTCAATATATTACTGTAACCTTTCTTATTTTTCTGAGTCTTTACAAATTAAGAACAAGTGTTTAATCTTTAATTCACATAGCTAATTGTGAGCACCCTTTTTTTCTCAAATGGATCATTCATGTTTCTGAAGTTTTGGTTCAGGTATGTCCATATTCTTGAGGATGCTAGGATTGATTGATGGATCACAGGTTTTTTCCAGTGACAAAATTGTCTTTTGTTGTGGTACAATAGAAGAGTTTCTTATTTCTCTATGACATGTAGTAAATAGTGGATGAACTGTCAAGAGAACTGTCAAGAGAACATCTCTGCTAATATTCAGCTCTTTAGAAAATAGTCTCTTTTACTCAAGAGCAATTACGTGATGCAGATCATCATCAGGATAAACTCACTCAATTTCTGTGGACAATTTCTTGTTCCTAAAGAAATCTATGCTTTTGTTTTTCCTGTATGGGCTTTATGATCTACTCTGAGAGAATGGTTTTACATTCTAGTATTCAAGAGTCAGCAGCTCAGTATTTTGTTTTGCAGATGCACTGCTGTTGTGCTGACAGCACAGAGGTACCTATCTTTCATTTCTAAATTAGGTAGGCAAACATAGCAAGCTGCCACAAAGAATTTCTGATACTGCAGCAATTTTGAAAATCTAGTAGTAAAAGCGAATGGGGAGTATGCTTAAGCTGTGTATTGGTAAGGAACAAATAGCCTGTTCTGTCATAGAAATGTATATTATGTCAGAGTTTAGGAGTTCAGGGGTGGCCCTGCCATTCTAAAACCTAACGTTTAAATTTTTTCATTTAGCTTTAAGTTGGGATTTTCAGAGTCAGTAATTCTTGCTTGGGAAGCAATTAAAGAGCCACGTAATCTTTTTAGCACTATATTTTGCACAGCTATTACTGGTAGCTTTGTTTTAGCTATTTTTGTTGACAAATGTAGTGATACAGAGCAAAAGGGAAGGGTGATCTTCTGGGTGTAATGTTGTGGCATGTATACAGTCCAGCCACAATAGCTCTACTATGTATTTTTGGATGGTTGTCTGCTCTCTATATGTCCTGAGATGACATTTATAAAACAGGAAGGCACTTTTTCAGTGTAGTTCTGAGTCTTGTCTCCACCATAGCCTCTTTAAGTCAGTGTCTAGGATGGTGTAGTCCTTACCTCAGCAGGGATCTGTAAGCCTAACTGTGTAATAAATAAAATTTCTTTGTTTTGTAGTGTCTCTTCTAAAGAAATGCTTTATACAGACTTGTGGGTATGACAGTAGGCATCTCAGATTACGTTCTAATTATTTTTAGATATATGAAGCTAAAGAGTTCCATCCATCTTTCCCCTAACTTGCTTAACCAGGGAAACAACTAAATGTCATATTCTCCTAGCTGGGATATTCTTCAGTTGCCTCACTCAAGCTGATAATCACTTCTTTTGGTCCAAATTGCTAAGATTTGAGATTTTGCTTCTACTTTAAAATAATCAGATTCAGCTAGGTAATGGTTTTCCCCGTTATAGGAGTACTTTTGGAATCCTTCTCCACTAGGTTGTTTCAGTAGCTCACGCGCATTTATCATGTTGAATGCCATCACATGCCAAAGTAGTGATTTATTCAGTCATGCACATCTCATAAAATATTTTGTGAATACTTGGTGCTAAGGGAAATACACCAGGAAATAATACTGATTTTGGATGGGAGATGCTGGTGGAAGGATATTTTGTTTTCACTAGCTTTTCAAAAACGATATGTAAAATAATTCTGGAGGAGTTCAGAACATGTTTGTAATGAGTTTGTGCAGCTTGGGAGATTATGGACAAGCTATGTTTTCTGCATGACCTAAAATACAGGCTTCTGAATGGGAACTTTTCATTATTTTTTTTCCTGTGCTCTTCTAGCATTTTACAATACTTTTCTCTGTTTAACAGAAAAGAAAAAAGATTGCCATCAAATTCTATGTTATACTGTTTTTTTCTTTTTAAACAGCTTTATTGGACACTCACTGGGTAATTTAATAATCCGTTCAGTGCTCACAAGACCTCGATTTAAATATTACCTCAATAAACTTCATACCTTCCTGTCTCTCTCTGGACCACATCTTGGTACCCTCTACAACAGCAGTGCTCTTGTTAATACCGGTAAAGTCTTATTTTCAGAGATTTTGTCTTTGAAATGCACTTACGAGTTTCCTGTGGGGTGCCATTTCTGCGTTACTTTGATTATGAGAAAGTATATGCTTCATTGTCATAAGAAGAGAGAAGGGTTATAAAAATAAAGTATCAATAGAAGGATGTGGATGAGATGGTTGACATAAGTGTGTTCCAGTATGTTTGATTCAGGTTTTCTCTTACACCATACAGAAACTCCAGTTTTAATGTGTTGAGCTCAATTTATTATAAACTGAATTTTAATATACTTAATCTGCAAAACAAGTAGGTAAAATGCGTTAAAATAATTTTGAACTACTGGTAGTATCTTTTCTCTGTGAAGAATGTCTTCCAGCCTTACAGTGTTTCAGCAGATGTGTCTGTACCTTATGAATGTCTGTTTTTCTAAGGATTAAATGTAGCTCTAGGAAAACTTGTAGAAACTGCCGGCTTTTGAAATACATGTTAGAAAATATTTTCAGGTAGTATCAAATTTTTAAATGAAAATTTGTTTCTGAGATTACCACCTACCTTGCAGAGCCTAAACCCAAAATTATTTACACTTATTTGCACTAAATAAAAACATGCTTATTAAACTCTTTAAAAACACTCCAAAAGTCATTAATTACTTTGTTTAGTGCCAGTTTATTTATGGATTGTTTTATTATTTTGTTTCATATAAAAATGGGGAGGAAAAACTTTTAACTCGCATGTGTTGAGCTTAAGAGGTATGGACAGGAATTGCTGGATAACTGGAGTTATTGGAGTTTATAGGAGCAGAAGGAACATGAGAGCTCTTTTGAATTTGGTTGAAATGGTACCATTTATAGCCCTCAATACACTACCAGTGAGGTCTGCTTCAGGATTAAGACATCTGCAATATAATTCACTATGGGCATCTACTGGGCTTTTAACCTAGTATATCTGTGGGCAGTTTCTTTCAAGTATTTTAATCTGTAACTGAATCTCACCCAAATTACCTCAAAGTGTTAGCATTACTTTGCTTTAAAAGTTGCAGTTTTCCAGGATGCAAAGAGGCAAGGCTGTTTGCTTATTTATATAATTACAGGCAAAGGACTTTCAGTTAACTAAGGTTAAAGCTCTCGAAGTATAATCCAGAATATATGCACTGAAAAAATAAGGATTTCTGGAGTATTTAATCTCTTTTATAGTTGAAGACTATACCAAATGTCCTTCTCATATAATAATCTTGTAATATTCTGTAAGTTATTGAAATAGAGTTTGTATATTGCCTTATGGCTACCTTACTAATGTATTTTCACTTTTTGTAAGTATAGTTACTTTTTTCTAGAAAGGCATGTACATTAGTGGAAATAATGGTCTTCATGCTTTATTATATATAGATAGGAAAGAATAAGGAAGAAAAATTTCTGGCTTTGACAGTGCTGACGGGAAGAATAAAACTAACATCTGAAGAGCTAAATATATGGACTTTACATACTTTTACTTATGTTTAATTAGTTTTCATACTTTATTGTGGTTCTATACTCATGTTGTACTTAACAATGCAGGACTGTGGTTTATGCAGAAGTGGAAGAAGTCTGGTTCTTTATTGCAATTGACGTGTCGAGACCATTCAGATCCACGACAAACATTCTTATACAAACTTAGTAAAAAAGCAGGTAAGCTTTGTTAATACTTACTATCTTTTAAAGGCCACTGTGTATAAATGTGAATAGGAAACCTAAAAAAAAAAAAATTGTTTCCAACAAGCTCTTGTTTCAGTTTATTTAAGAGTTACTTTAGCTTTAGTCCCATATTCTTCAAGTAAACAGTAAACCATTTTTCTTGCGGAGGTGTACCATTGGTTTGAGACTTTCCTTCCTAAGTAATGAGCAGAAATTCTTAGTGCAGCCACTATACTTAGATAGATAGATAGATAGATAGATAGA